GTTAGGAATGGTGATGTAACACTGAGGAGTGTGATGGAGAAGCACCTTGGGAAACGGGTAATTCCATTACAAGCTACATAGCTTAGAGGGTACTCGGTGTATAAGACCTCAGACTTCATCAGTGAGCGATAAATAATTGGTATGAAGCAGACATCCATCTATTTTAATGAACACACTTCTCTGAGCACCAGTGCAGTGGATACGTTCAATTGCTGTCTGGTCCAATAGGTGAGAAGTACTGAGCATACAGCAGAGCACAGGCTGTCACTGGTGCCTCTGCTGCTTTCAGGAACAAAGAGTAATGGGTGCAGGAGGAACAGTTTTCCTTCGGCTGTCAGGCAAGGAGGGAGGCACAAAACCCAGAGTCTCATTTCCAGTGACGATAAAACAGTTATGCCTGTGAATGACACCAGGAAAAGCTGTAGTTATTGAACAGTGGTGTGTTCGTGTTCAGTTGCACAGCAGGTACGGTAGCAGTGATGGATAGTTTTTATCCATTTGAAAAAAACACAATAAACAGCTGGCTTTGTGAATTTATTATGATGGAAAGTGGGCTTTGGTATCAGCTGAATAGCCATAAGTTAGAACCCCACCTGTCAGGTTTAAGAGAGTTTGAGCAAAGTGTTGAGGCTTTTTTTTTTCCCCTGTTGTGTGCATGTAACATTTTAAGTTTTGACTATAATGAAGGAAAAAAAAAAAAAAGGTTTTTCCACCTACTTACTTCAGAGATTTCATTATGAAGGACTCGCTTAAAAAAAAGAAGAGTGTAAATTGACAGGGAAGGCTTTACTTTTTCTCACCTATCTATGTCAGACGTGTTTGTGTGGAAATTTCTTGGGTTTGACTTTCATGGAAAAGCAGAGGCCAGTTGCTGTCATAAAACTTTCAACAATCACTTCGTACAGCAGTTTAATGGTCAGAAAGAGCAACATACTGTGGTGGGTTAACCCTGGCTGAGCAAGTGATGCCCACCAAGCCACTCTGTCACCCGCCTCCTTTCCTCACCCTCCGCAGAGCAAAAAGGGGAAAGGAAAATAAGATGGAGACAAAACCCTTGTGGGTAAAAACAAGGGCAGTTTAATTAGAAAGCAAAGCCAAGCAATGCCATGCATGGAAGCAAAAAAAAAAAAAAAAAAACCAAACAAAAAGCAAAGACTTATTCTCTCCTTCCCATCCTTCCCATCAACAGGTGATGTCTGGCCCCTTCCTGGGAAGCAGGTTGCTCCAGAGTACCAAGGAGTAGCCCCCCCACCATTTGCACTAGCTTTATAGTTGAGCTGGTGTCGTATGGTATGGAATATGGTATGGAATATCCCTTTGGTCCGTTCAGGTCAGCTGTCCTGGTTATGTTTCCCCCAATCTCCTGCCCCCCAGTCCCACTTGGGGGAGGGGGAATGTTAGAAAGAGCCTTGGTGCTGTGGGAGCACTGCTCAGTGGCAGTCACACCATGGGTGTTACCAACACCCTTCAAACTCCCAACACAAAGCACGGCACCAGCAAGTACAGCGCAGGCAAGTACTTCTGACATATTAGCAGGCATCAGATGGGATGTAATCTTGCTCTTCCACAGTGTTTACGCTATTATCTTTGCTTGAAGATGGAACTTCTAACAAATGGACTGAGTGCAGAGTAATGACTTATAGTGATGTTTAGGGTTCAAAATGTGAAAGGTAGATGAACTTAAGATGAGGAGAGAGACAGGAATAGTATGTAAAGGAAGGCTGTGATACACCTCTGATAGAAAGTTGTGGATTGGTCTGGACAGCACTGATTTAAAATTAAAGTGAACCAAAAATGAATTTGTCAAACCTTGAGTTCAGTCAGAGTTGAAAATAGCATGTCCTACTGAACCCAAATCTTTGTGAAACATGTCAAGTTCTTTATGGCACTTTTCCTTGAAAGACAACTGCTTTCTAGAAGTATGTTATGGTTCTCCCACTTTGCTTCTTTTATGTGGGTTTTGTGCTTCTGTACATGTTTTTATAAAGATCCTACGTGACCTAATCCTGGTACGGTCTCGCTGGTTACTGGAAGGTGCAGTCCTTGCCAACTCTATCATGCTGGCCATAGGACTTGCAGGGTCAGTCAAAATGAATAGTGAATCACACTGAAAATTAATATCACCAAAGAAGGCCCCTTAGAATTAGCTTTCAGTGAGATTACTTTTCTAACATAGAGGAGCTAACAGAAACATGCCTGTCAGTGTAAGGTCAATTTGTCTCTTAAACTTATTATAAACTGCCTCATATAAGATAATTTTTCTGTGCTATCTTAAAACAGATAAAGTCAGAAACTGTAGCATATATGTAGGATGTACCTTTTTTTGTTTGATACAACTGTTGATCCTGAGAAGTAGTCCAGGGTTCAACTAAGTCATTTCA